TTCTCCTGTTATGTCCCAAGGCTGCTTCTCCATCAGCGGTCTTTCTCAGAATCAGCTGGGTGGATGGATGGATGGACAGATATGGTATAGGTATAAAGGGAGATTTTTTTTGGCTGGGTTATCATGGCACACACCTTTAATCCCAGCACTTGGGAGGCAGAGGCATGCAGTTCTCCATTTGAGTCCAGCCCAGTCTACACAGGGAGTTCTAGGACAGCTAGGGCTACACAGAGAAACCCTGTCTTGAAAACAAGCATATATAAGTATATAAACAATAGATATATTTTTATCATGCTTCTTAGTAGGGCATTCATATTCTACATCAGTGTCTTTCTAAGTGTTGTCTGAAACTATGCCAAAAACGTATATCTAGGCCTATCTGTTGTTGCCTAAACTGAGAAATTCCTACTATGAAAAGAAAATGTAGGGGCCTGGGGAGATAGTCCAGTCCATAAAGGGTTGTCTTGTAACCACAAAGAACTGAGTTTGATCACCAGAACCCAACTGGGGAGGCAGAGACAGTCAGATCAGAAGTTCACTGGCTGAGGGATAGCCTGGCCTACTGGTCAAGTTCTACTGGTCAGTTCCATGACAATGAGAGGCACTGTCTCAATATTTAATTAGATGGTGCCTGAAGAGTAACACCCGAGGTTGTCCTCTGGCTTCTACCCATGCCTGCATACACATGCTCCCGCATAAGCCTGTACATACACAGATAAACAAATACATGTACACACACATGTGACATACCCATGTCAGCTGGAAAAAGCAACGTGCTCAATGATGACCTTCATTTAGCTGAAGCCCCTGCATCCTTGTAGACTGGTACCAACCAGTGCGAGGACAAACAGCTGGTGGGTGGGCCACACTTCAAGTGAGGCCATCCTGAAAATGCTTGGATTCCACTCTTTGATTGGGTGATGGCCTAGATTCATACTCGGTGGCAAGAACAAGCAGCGAGTTACTTTATGAGACTGTTCCCAGGCAGCCGAGAGCAAGACCAGATGCCACAGCCACGAGGCTGGTGCAATTCTGTAATGTGTTATCAAGTGTATCTTCTTCCTTATTTACTCCATTCGGTGAGGCAGAAATACCTGCTCTTGCACAGTGTCTATAATACAGACACAGGCCCGTGTCACAGGACAAAGTCAATGTAGTAGATTCTCCATGAAGTTGGTTCCCTTACCCCTCCTCTGGAGTTAAATGACCCTACAGAATTAAGTTGCTCACGGGCTCCTTGGAGACCCACGTGTCCAGATTTGGGGATGCTGTAGGAGCAGCCCCTTCTGCTGGAGGTCTCTGAAGTCTTTCTGAAGGCCTCCAGTGAACGTCCAGTAGTCACCCAGAGAGGAACCTTGGTCAAGCAGATAGACTATAATAGTCAGAATGAGCTCTGTCTAAAAAGGAGAGAAAACTGAAAGATGCAAATTATGAAAGATCCCAATGCCTTCTTGCTCCACAACCTCTGCTCTTTCCCGCCACTTCATAGATGAAAGGGCCACTTGAGCTCCAACCATGGTGTCTCACCTCAGCCTATAGGAAAATGGCAGGGAATGAAGACGAAGCCACAGGCAGCACAGAATTCTACCTACCGTTCATAGATGAAAGGGCCACTTGAGCTCCAACCATGGTGTCTCACCTCAGGAAAATGGCAGGGAATGAAGACAAAGCCACAGGTAGCACAGAATTCTACCTATCAGCAATGGCCGGGTCCAAGGGACATGGTAACACCTATCTGCTAAGGAGGTTGGGAAATGTTTCCATTGAGCCAGCCAGGCATGGTTAAAAACTTCCAGGGCCTATTACCCAGGAGGGAGGAAAATCTCTGCTACAGTGGCGCTTGAAAGGAGCACACAAGCAAAAGCCTTCCTCTAGCTCACTAGCTCCGGGTGGCTCAGTGCTGCTGGAAGGCAGAGCAGGGGCTGTGTGCACAAAGTGGAGAAACCACCCCTGTGCTGAAAAGCCCTCGGCCAACTCCACACCAGGTAATTTCCTACATTCTCTTCCACCAGCACCATGACCCCCTTGTAACTTGTCTGCCATTCTCAAGATTTAAGCCAGAAAATTAAAGATCCAGAAAGTCATCAGTTGATAATTGTATATCGAGGACGAGCTGTGGCTCCGTCTGCAAAGCTCTCGGCACTAACCCACTTTCCATTGCCTACCTTACTTTCTGGATGAAGTGCTGGCCCCACTGTGCAAGTGGAAAGGCTGGAAATTGCCAGAAGATCAGAAATGGATAGAGCAAAAATAGACTCAGTGCAGGTCGGGAGAATACCAGGAGAGGGCCTGGTCTCATGCAAGAAGGAAAAAGCCCAGTCTTGAGAGTTGAAAGTGACATCATGGAGTTACAGCCCCAAAGCTGACTTGGGATTGAATTGCTATCGTGGCATCCTGTGACATTCTCCTCCATGGGCCCAACAACAGAGCTTTGACAGCCTCAGCCGCAACCACCCGGAGTAAAGGCAGAGAGACAGGAGGTCATTCTTTAGTTGAAGGTAGCCTGTTTTTCCACAGCCACTTCATAGGACTGTGTGTCAGAGTCTGATGGTTCTCTGCTAGTGCAAGAGCTCAGTGGGCACGGATGAGAGGAGCCTCAGGGAAGGAAAAGGAAGCAGTGTGTCTAGACCCGAATGTAGCTCTCCAGGTGAGTGATCTTCGCCTTGACAGTAGAGCAGGTACCACAAAGAGCTACCCCCTGCCCTCCCAGGTGTAGTCCAGGATCATGGACTCCCTCAGGCCACCTTTCTCACCCTCATGGGCTGCCCAAGAGCACAGAGTCCCCTTTGTTCACCAAGGCCTCTTCATCCAGATCAGTGACTTGACTCTGGGCCAAGCAGGCCAGCAACTGCATTGATTTTTGACTCTAGGAAGATGCCCTAGCTGTTTCTGTGAGAAGTGTAAGCAGGTTCCACACCTTGGGAAGGGATGCTTGCCAGAGGATGCAAGTGGACCGTGCACGGTGGCTCCTTGTGTCACTGAATGTCCTCTCAGGCAGAGGACAGGATCTCTGTGACCTAGAGTGAGGTTGTGTGTGTATGTTGTGGGGGGACACCCTCAGCAGGTAAATATCTGTGAGTTTTCTTTGGGGGAGCTAAAAGTTGAGTAAGTTAACAATTTAATGTACAGAAACATAGTGAACTTTGATGGGTCATGTTTTCTCACACAAGCTGTTTCTCTAGTGACTTCATTCATCTGTTAACTAGTTCACAAGGTGTGGCATTTTTGAGGATCATCTCATCATCCTGGCAGCAGTAACACCTCTTAGTCCTTTGGGACCTGTCCACTGACTCTAATCCAATGAAATAAAGAGCCTGATGTGATGGTGCAAACCTGTCACACCAGTAATTGTGAGGGTAAAGCTGGAGGATCAGGAATTCAAAGTCTGGGCTACAAAGAGACACCCTGTCTTTAAAAACCAAAGTCAAAGCAAAACAAAACAAAACAGGAAAATCGTAGTTACCTTAGGGATCCAGCATGTGCCGTTGATGAGGAGAAAAGAGCCCAAATGATCTGGTTGGCGAGTGTTCACTAAAGCGGTCTAGAAGCTCAGAGTGGAAAATGATAGAAAGGCCCATTTGGAGGGGGTGCTGTACTTCCAGGTCCAGGCAGTGATTGAAAGGCAGCCATAGCCATGTACACAGTGTGCTTGGAACAGGCACTGGACTGGGCTTGGAAAGGAGGCAGCAGGCTCAGACAGGGTTTCCCGCAAAAGGACCTGCGGTCCAGGTTTCTTTAGAGTTCCTGGGAAACCAATTCTTTGTGCTTTGCTCTTGTTGTCTGTGGGAGGTTGAACCGGAGGAGAGCTTTGCCTTGCAAATGAAGGGCCATATGTTGTTGATGTTAAGAATTAGCATTGACTAAGGAATATCTCACACTAGCCTCACCCTCTGCTGTGCCTGGTGGACTTGAGAATATAGTATCAAAGACAATTACCAGGGATCTAGACGGTAACTGAAGTTATTTCACTGAGCCTGCTGATGGCCAACCTTGATTGGGAACAAAGTGAGGAAGAAAAAAGAGACTGTAGGCGGATTTTTTTCTGTCCTGCCAGCCAACTTCCAAATAACCACACAGATACTTATTATTAATTAAGAAAGCTCAGTCAATATCTTAGGCTTGTTTCTAACTAGCTCTTATAACCTAAACTAGCCCATTTCTATTAATTTACTCATAGCTTCATTACCTCATCTCCTTAGTGCCCATGCTTCTCAATGTGTCTCATGGTGTCTCCTTACAACTCTGTCCTCCTACTTCCCAGTGTCCTCTCTGCCTGAAAAGCCTACCTAGCTACTGGCCATTTAGCTTTTTATTAAACCAATCAGAGTGACACATCTTCACACAGTGTAAAGGAATATTCCATAACAAGAGACTTCAGTGGCTCTAGTCTTTCAGAAGTTTAGGTCATTTCACTGCTACAGAGGAAAGCTGTCCTCATGCATCGCTCTGTCCTTGCTCCAGTATGATCTGACCTCGAACCTTCTCCCCTTCTCAACTCTCACCATAGCTCTCCCCCACAAACTGCTTCAGAAGCTAGGCATTCTTAAAGTTTGTTTCCAGGATTCTATTTCTTGGATGATTGTCTACAAATTTCTTGGGCATATATACCTAAGTATTTCTTGTGTATTGTTTTCATATTCTTCCTTCTTTCAACAAATACTTATTGTC